GTTTGCATGGCAAGAACCCACTGGGGCTCCCGTATAGCCTCCGAAATAGAACGAGGAACTAGCGTATTTGATAAGGCTATACTATAAGCTCGAAATGTAGGAGACAAATCACCATAAGAAACATAAGCAGAGATCGGATATAAAATCCTGGCGGTCCAACCAAAACGATCAATTGGACGGTGATCACGCTGCGGATAACGACGCTCTAAATCATCATCCTCCACTGATAATGTCTCATCAGCTAAAGGAATTGGCTCAACACCTGCAAACTCATCAGTACTAACAATAGGTGCATTAGTATACTCAATAAACTGAGAAGTATTACCTGCATCGCCTGAGGTAGAGGGGACATCAGCAGGGTGATGAGAGTGAGGGCGCCGAACATATACCTGCAAAGGAAGAGAGACTATTGACTCTGTACTGACAGGGATGAATGGCTTCAGAGGAGGAGAGACAGATGACCCTATAGGGATAGTGACCAATGACTCTGGCTCTTGTGGTAATGAAAAATCAAGGGGAGTATCATCAACTGAAGGAGCAGACACAGGACTAGAAGGAAAATAAATAATATGCTCAAAAAAAATAACATCTAGACTGTGATACATACGACGCTCAATAGGATTATAACACCGATATCCCTTAAATTGATGACAATAGCCCACAAAGATATAACGAATTGCTTTATTATCAAGTTTATAACGAGTATGAGGTTGATCCTGAACAAAACATGTGTATCCAAAAACACGAGGGGGGATCGGAAAAAGTGTCTGCTCAGGAAATAAGACCTGTAAGGGAGCCTTATGCTGAAGAACACGACTTGGCGTACGATTGCACAAAAAGGTAGAAGTCAAAACCGCAAAATGCCAATAAGATTTTGGTACTCTCATGCCTCGAAGCATATAACGTACCATCCCTATCAAACTCTTATTTTTTCTTTCAGCAATACCATTTTGCTCAGGAGTATATGGACAAGTGAGTTGCTAAAGAATACCCTGAGAAAAAAGATGGGACACTAAGGCATCAGACACATTCTTTGGCATTATCCGAACGAAGAGTACGAACAATGACATCAAATTATGTCTTAATCATTTGTAAAAATTGAGTGATTATAGGGAGTACATCAGATTTTTGATCTAAAAGGTAGACCCAAGTACAACGGGTATGGTCATTTATAAATGTCACATAGTATCGGACACCTGACAGAGCAGTAACGGGAGAGGGTCCCCAAATATCAGAGTATATTAGGTCAAATGGTTTGGATGACTGGTGCATACGAGAAATATAACTGACTCTAACATGTTTCGATAGGAAACATATAACACAGTCAAATTTACCATCAACACAAGCATTGCTCAAAGTAGGAAATAATATACATAAATATTTAAAATTTGTATGTCCAAAACGGTCTTGCCATAACTGAACAGTTTGTGACGAAAAATCATAACGACAACTACTAGGTAAAATACTAGCATGCAAGTTAGGAACAGATAAAGACAAAGTAGGTGCAGGTGCAGTTGATATAGGTGGAGGAATTGGTGAAACTGGAGGTGGATTGCCAAGATAATACAGTCCATCTTTCTCATGTTCCTAGATAATAATCCTCCTAGTACTCAGGTTCTGCAAATAACACGAATCAGATAAGAATACAACCGCACAGTGAAAATCTCTGGCTAACTGATGTACAAATAATAGATTCATAGCCAACTTTGACGCATGAAAAATTGAACTTAATGTAAAGCCATCTGGGAGGCGGATTGTACCCCTACTAACAATAGGGGCATGTGTCCCATCTGCTAACTGAACCTGTGTATGTAACTGCTCGTCAAAAGTGGTAAAGTGATGGGCCGCACCTGTCATGTGACCATTTGCACCCGAGTCTAACATCCAAAGGGGAGATGAACTGACACAAGCATGAAAGACATTAGGTATACCTGTAGTGGTAGTAGCAGTAGTCGGACTCTGAGAAGTCAGAGTAGACATAAGTATATCTAATCGGGAAGTGATAACATCCATATCACTCTGCCAAGGAGGAACAACCGCAGGAGTAGCGGTAGTGGATGGTGGTACCTCAGCAATAGCAACAATACGGTTGCGAGGAGGCGGCTTAAGCTCTGGATGGAGCTTCCAGCAAGTAGCCCTGAGACGTCCTGGTTGGCCACAATAATCACATTGACGAGAATCTCCCTGTCTGCGCTAATCTGTGGTACCCTGATGGCGCTGATCCGAGCGCTGCCCACCCCTGACTGAGGATCCTGAACAAGACCCTGCAGCAGCTGCAAGGGCCATCTGATCAGCTGAAGGAGTCAAAGCCGCAACTGGAAGTGATGCAATATGGACTCGGCGCTCATGCTGCTCAATTATCCCATACACCTCATAAAGAGAAAGAAGTGTCAACATCGACAAGATCTAAGAACGAGGTCCCTCAAACTCATCACGAAGCCCCATAAAGAACTTGTGAATCCTATCCTCCTGCTCTCGAGTATGCAAGAATGTTGCTCCCTCAGACTTTATCCTTGGAATAGCAGCAAGAGGATGTAGAGTTTCATACTCAAGCCAGCGCTGGGTCAAATAGCCATAATAATCCTGAACGGTCATATCTCCCTGCCGAGTATATGAGAGCTCTTGAGAAAGCTCATAAACACGAACTCCCCGTCCTGACTGAGAATACATCTCTGATAATGCGCTCCATAGCTTCGGAACAGAGCTAAGAAATTGGTGGATCCTACAAAGAGATGGCTCCATCGAGCCAAATAACCATTCAATAATGACGCAGTTCTCAGAGAATCACATAGAATATCCAGGGTCGGCATCAGCTGGCTTTGGGTAAGATCCCGTCAGCCAACCAAGTTTCCCTACACGGCCTAAGAAAAGCTGGAATGAGCAAGACCACTCAGCGAAGTTACGACTATTCAACAATTGTGCCGTAATTTTCTAAGAGATCATGCCCAGTAGTGTTGGTAATGCAACTGTGCTAGTAGGTATTGTATACTGGTCAAACATAAAAGTGGAAGTACCAATAGATGTCTCAACGGTAGAGGTGTCAACAGTAGGGGTCTCAAGTCCCTCAGTAGTAGTCATATCAATAATAATACTAGGGCACCCGTGATAGAAACAACAACTCTAAGATAAATAGAGGGATAAAATAATGGAGAACAATATACTTCCAGTCGAACAGTAGCGACAGATAAAGAAGATTCAGAAATCTCCCAAATATTCAAGTCATGGTGCCCAAAAATTTAATAAATATAAATAAATAATCTACTACATCAAGAGCATATCAATGGAGAGGAGGATTTAACCCCTCTTAAAAGGTCCTACAATCCCAAATAATCAAGTGTACGAAGACAAAACACGAAGTTGTGATGAAGAATGCGTCCCAACAATAGGTTGCTACACTTAGTGTTGCATATATAAACTAGAATGCTGCTATATCAGGTTGTTGCTATATCTCCAACAGTGACAAATACTAAGAATCACCATATTGCAAAGGATGAAACACCATAATTTGATTATTTAAATTGAAGTTAGTGAGATGATCATTTAAAAATAAACTATTTCCTCAAAGACTGAAGTATCACAATTGAAAGTTAAGTAACCAAAATTGAACTGAATGTATTCTTCAGGACCATCAATATCTGTTACCCTAATTTTTTTTTGTGGATGGGTGGAGGTGTGTGGGGTAACTACAATTTTATTTGGCGTATTTCATCCATTAATTTTAGATTATTCTTCAAGGTCATACTTTAAAATTTGCCTTAGCTTGAGGGGTTAGGGCGCACATCTAGCAGTCTTAACATTGACAGACAAGTTTGGGCTGGGGTTCGGGGCATGGAGGCTAACCTTAATGTCCTTAGCCAAAGTCTTGTTTGGGCTTTATATTGAGGCCTCATGCTTGTTAAGATTGTATTTATATTTATGCTTATTCACCATTAAAGGTATTTTAGTTAAGAGACTTAACCCACTGACCGGTCATGCTCTCATACCATGTTAAAGCATCCAATCCAAAACCAATTGGCAATGGGTGGAGTGGCCTTTCAAGTATATAGATACAAGTTCTCTTAACAATTGCTGGCCCGAGAATTGACAAAATAAAGGCCTAGGAAATTTGTATTTATAGCATAACTTATTAATGTTAACTTGCATGTAACAAAATTTTGAATTAATGTTAGCATGTGTAATGCAAGAACCTATTGCTAGTTGGTTGAGTGGTAAGTGTTGTGTGACGAACTCCTTGAAGTGTTACGGATAATATTTCAAATTCATAGAGACTTTAGTTCCAAGAGGTCTAAACCTCAACTCCTTGAAGTGTTAATGATAATGTTCAAATTCTAAGAGGTCTAAGACCAAACCCCTTGATGTGTTGATGATGATATTTGTGGTGGTGCTATGTCATCCATCAAGCTTATGTAGTTTCATGACTTCGGGGAGTACAAAAAATATTCTCAGTTAGATCTCTATGGGCTCTATTTACATTAGTCGAGGTGCTATCCTTCCAAATCACGGAGTCAAGAATTTTAAGGATTGATATAGTTTTCTTGACACAAGGGAACGAAAGTATTAGATGTGTTGTTTGCTTGTGGATATCACTTGCAGTGACTCTTTGCTCCGGTACTATGCAAATTATAATTATTATAGAAATTTTACAATCATTTTATTGACTTAATTGCAGGGGAACTGGTTGGTTTATTGGAACCTTTCTCGTCCACGAAGATTTACGCCAAGGCCAATCGGATCATTAATTTTTGGATGATTGGATACCTTAGGTTTCAATGAACAGAAAAAAATATTTTGTATTGGCCTATCGTTGAATTGACCTGGTTTTTTGTATGCTTAGTTGACTGACTCTATTGATTAAGCCATGTAAATCAGCTGGTCAATTCATATGTTTACCTTAATGCAGTTTGAGATGTGGCGTTTTCTAATTAATATTGACGGTTTCTTTGTTGCCCTCAACAGTGGTACAAGGAATTTTTTCTCGAATTAATAAATTTGATGGCACTATGATCCCAATTCTTACTGTCCAAGATGTGGCTAGACAATTCAGACCACCAGGATTATGGCTAAATATTCAGGTATTGTTAAATTGAGATTGATTATTACATAAAATTTGCTTCCTCCTTCAATGTAACTTCATTATTACAATTTGCATTATCTGGTGTCTCAGCTATTATCTAACCAACATTCAACCAAAAAAAAACTATTATCTAACCAACCCTACTTCTGTTCAATTTTTTTGCAGCATGATGCATTCTTCAGCCAACATAATTTGAGTATGAGAAGCTTTGTAATTTCTGCATCAAGAAGTGTTGTCGTCAATTATATTTCCTCACCAGAAGTGAACTTTCTGGGAGGTATCTTTAAACGATTCCAACCAAGCCCGACAAAACTCATTTTTCAGTTTCTTGGACAGGGCGATGTGGAGCCTTCAACCAACCAAACTTACGGTTCTCTTTTAAAGAATCTAACATTTATTAAGACATTTGCCTCTGGAATTCTTGTTCCCAAATCTTATATATGGCCTGTGGATGGAAAGCAATATTTACTGCCTCATACTTCTGTTGTTTTGGATGCTCATAAAGAGGGTCTAGAGGTTTTTGCTTCAGATTTCAATAATGATGTACCTTTTCCCTACGACTACAATTACGATCCTGTGGCTGAGTACCTGTCTTTTGTTGATAATGGCAACTTCTCCGTGGATGGTGTGCTCTCTAGCTTCCCACTAACTCCATCAGAAGCCATTGGTAAGTTATTCACTTTGTTACACTTCCATATGCATTACTATCAAAAAATGTTTACCTATCAAATTTTTTAGTTACTCCTTTAGCAATTCCATCTGCAAGTACCCAGATCATTCATGTCAGTCGTGATTACTGGTCCCAATAGATACTTAAGTTTGTGCAAGTTGCCCAGTGCATTAATTTGACACAATCTGGGAGCATCAGCTCAGGGTCTATACTAGCATTTAGAAGTAAACTTGGCTTAAAATAGGTTTTAAATAGCAGATCTTTGCGTGGTGCCTAGTAGGATAGCAGATCTTTTCAGAAGTAATAGGCTCTCAGTGCTAAATTTTTAATTTACGTGTTGTACTTGTCAACTTAAACACGACACGATAATAAACAGGTCGGGTTAGTATCAGGACATCTGTAATTAAATAGGTTGGGCTAGGATTGAGTCATACTCAAAGCAAACTCAAAGCAAACACGAAAGGACATGACACAAATACAACCCAACACAATTTGATTGCCACCTCTAGTGCTTGGTTGATTTGGATACTATGATCCTCTGATGCTTCACCTTTTATACTTTTGTTATCTGTCATAAAGGTTATTTTTCCGTAATGTAGGACCCTTAGCTGCGTCTTTCCCTGCTCTTTTCACTTAGCTGAATAATGTTTGGCTTATTGGTAGTTTAAATTAGTTGCTGACTTTGGAATTTGAATGCACTAATGAAAACATTAAGGTAAAACAAAGAGAGAAATGCATGGGTATCAAGAGTTTAAATGAAGAAATGCAATCAGCCAAGGAAATAACCAAAAAAACAAATGGACAAGGGTGCTTGTGTTGACTGGTGTTGCCTGCGGTGCCATATTCTATACTAACCCATGGTTCATGAGGGCCTCACCACCATATGGACGATTTAATTCTATGTGGCTATATCCCTGGTTGACTGTTTCAGGGTCAAATGACTTTGACATGTATCAGGAGTTTTCATTGTGAGCATCTTTGTAGTCATATTATAAGTAGAGTAGGACGTATTACGGTTTGTTTGGCAAACCCTGATTTCCAGACCAGTTTGTTTCCAAAGCAACTCCTGGATGCTCCAGAACCCAACAGCATATAGAGCACCAGAATATTATTCCATCCCAATATACTGTGTGGCAATAACTTCTCCACTTCTATGTGGATAAAGAGCTCTTTCCTCCAGGACACGTGACGTGATGTAGTCTTTAATCTTAATGGGAAATTTTGATGGCCACAAGTTCTGGTGGCCCTTTATCACTTGGATCAAAGCCAAAAGCTTGCATACATCTAATTTTAGAGCAGATTTGTGCTTTTCCCAAAAGAAATGCACAATATATATGGGGCTCAAACCCACCCATGAGAAGAAGAGTGATTAAATTCTATGAACCCGACTTTGTACTCTTCAAGAACCTCTTTCAACAGAGTGACTACAGCTGCAAAGGGAGCCAAGTACATGATAACTTACTAGTAGGTGACTAGCAGCAACCTGTGAAATAGGTTAAAAACTCTGCAGTTTTCTAGAAATTCATCTCCTCCATCTTCTTTTCATTCAGTTTGATTCTTTTCCTTTTATACTGGGAAGCTGGTCCTCAATCTTAAGTGCATCAGCATATGCTAATTGAGATTTTAAACCTTGCTTACTATTGCATATGATTTCATCCACTTAGCACTTATGTAGTCAAAAGAAACTTACTTTTTTTCTAAACAATACTGGTTATTTGTTTCTCCCTGATTCTTTTATGTTTCTAATATTACAGGTTGCTTCTCTCACTTGGGCAAAAATAACAAAAAACAAGGTATTCTTTGTTCAAAATTTGGTTATTTGTTCTATGCTAAAGTTGTTCGTCGTATACTTGTGTATTTGATGCACAATTATTGGCCTATCACGGTTGACTGGTTTCTTTGCTCTGTCTTTGTTTCAGCAAACCCTTTAATTATCTCATTCGAAGGGGCAAGTGGAACCTACACTGGTTGTACTGATTTGGCATATACACAAGCTGTTTCAGATGGTGTAGATGTTCTTGACTGTCCCGTTCAAATGACAGAGGATGGAATACCATTTTGCTTGGGCTCTATTAACCTTATTGAAAGAACCACAGCTGCTGAATCAAGTTTCAGCAACCGTACAGCAAATATTCCAGAACTTGGAATAGTCAATGGAATATTCACCTTTGATCTCACCTGGAGCCAGATTCAAAGTTTGACACGTAAGTTGAAGCCTGTTCTTTCTTTCCTGTTATCAGGTGTAGGAATCTTCAGCCTTCTCACAACCCCCTTCCAATTCTGTGATGAAGCATCCTAACCGTGCTTTAGTCCAGATAAAATAGTTGACGCACTTGCAAACTGATGATTGAACTTCAACAGCTTTTTTGATGAAATAGTATGCAAATTTTCCGTTTCTTACGGCAGACAAATATTTACTCCCCTCTTCTTTTAATGAGAGCTGTGTGCTTCATTGGAATATGCTATACTTATCAGGATAGTCCCTAGGTCTCCTCATTGTCTTATTTTCAACTTTACAATGACCCTGCTTGCTCCATCTCCTTTGGGATGTTTTTGTGGCGTTGATGATGATAGGTTCTGGGTCAGGTTTAGACCCAGCTGGTCAATCGGCATCAAGTTATTCTGTAGCATAGATGGCTATCTTATTTGGTTTGATGAATTTTTCTTTCTAAAAATTATTTAATATGTACAATTTATTGTGCTATCTGTAGTTGAAAACTTTTCTTTCTTTTCTCCTCTCTCGTACAATATTTTACTGTAACTTGACATTCCAATAAAGGAAAAATTACAGTTGCCGAAAAAAGGATGAATAATAGTTACTGATTTAGTCTTTTCCATAACCATGCACATAAAAACTCATCAAGGCTGCCTAACACCAATACCTACACAAGTCTTGTAACCAAACTACTTAGCAGCCAAAAGTTAGTTCTAGTAAACCTGTGGTTTTTGGAAGAATGGTGGATGCAAAGGAAGTGCCACAGTCTCACTACATTAAAGTTGATATTTTCACCCAGCTTTGAATATTTAAATTCCTTAAATGCTTCTTATTTGAATAGAGATTTCTTGTAATAGTTGCAACAGCCCACACTTATGTTTTCCTAACCTCCCTTTTGCTTACATTCAAGTTACTACATTTCTCTAGCATTTCCTTTCGTTTTTCTATAAAAAAGAAAGAAAGAAAAGAAATGGAGATCTATATTCTTTTCCTCAAGTCAGTTGTTTGACATCCATGTTTTGGTTTCATTGTAGCGGTGATACAAAACCCATGGGTGGGCTATAGGCTGTACCGCAACCCGAATTCCAAAAATCTTGGGAAATTTATGACCTTATCTGAGTTTTTGGCCTTTGCAAATAATGCGACTTCAATTTCTGGTGTCTTAATCAGCATTGAGGTGAGTTAATGCTATGGTGCTTTTTGCGGATTCTTAATTGTAGCGGTAAAACATTCACATTAACCAGCATCTGTGTCACAATTTTTTTGGAACTGCTATGTGTTACCATATGATCACCGACAAATAAGTGGTAAACGAAGAACACAAAGAATTCACCGTTCCTTTGTGCAAAAAGCACACATACACTCTGAATTCACAGGGAAAATAAGAGAAAACTCTGAAATATTATTGATTGAATGACTTAATTGAATAGAACTTTAGTACATAGGACAATTTATAAAAATCTCCAAACCCCTAATGGTTTCCAAAACGTACCTAAATCCTTAACTTTAAGAAAGTTTCCAAAAACAAATACAGCACGTGTTTAATGGAACTAGGAAAATTGACATGGTTTAGTAAGCAAATCACTATAGAATATTCCTGATTAAGTCCCATTCTAACTAAACAATAAAACTAAAATAAAAAGAGCAATTCCTAATTCTCGTTATACATCAATAAGAAACCCTTTATTCCCACTTATTTGGTTGAGATCCGCTCTTGTCCTGTAATGAAGGATCTCCCTAGTTTGATTTATGGGGTGATCATCCTTCCCTATTATCTTGCTGTTAGTAAGGTCTGACTATGAAAGGGAGGAATAGTTCAGAAGCGTAGAACAGTCCTTGCTTTGGTAGCATTGTTCAAAGAATTGTCACTTTCAGCTCCGATATCGTCCTTGTTACATGTAAATGACTAGTCTTACTTGATTTTTGGTTAATTTGGAGACATCTCATATGACTTGACCGAGTGTTCTGAGTCATCATCATTGAATTGCAACATATCGACTGCACTGTTCTGTAGCATAGTGATTTTTCATGAATCTCTCGTCATGTCAAATTTCTTCTTGTATTTTCACATTTCACGCATATCACCTGGTCTCGTTCCACAATGTTGTGATGTATGCTTTATGGTGGCCTCGACGATTCTGCAACCTTGAACCATGCTTAGTAGCCCTTAAACGCATCTTCCTTTCCTTACGTCCATTCTTGCCACAATGAGGGCATTGGATAAGGCCTGGGATAAATGGCCAAGAAAAAAAGATATGTTGCCTTCTCTTTTTCTGGAGCAGGGCTTGCTCGTAGCTCCCTGTGGATATAAAAAGGGGGATGAAGGGTGGAAAACATTTAAGAAGCAACACTTGAGGGCACACTCACTAGATCTTCCTGGCCGTAATGTGAGTTAGGAGTAGCTGTGAGAGTGAGGCCAACTTAAATAATCACTTTCAATGTGAACACCACCACGAAAAATGTAAATCCAATCCGTTTGCTTCAGTCTAATGCTTGGAAACTGTAAGTCAACCCCCTTTACCTCTAGGAAGCAAGAAAGTGAGCAGCCAGCTGGAAAAGGTCTTTCCTTTGAATAATAATGATTAAGTTTTATAGCTCTTTTTATGAGTTTCACTTAGTCAGGACTTGGGTGCAAAAAGGGGTGTCATGCTGGTTTTGTGGTGCCATGTTGTGGCTGTGATGTTCCTGGTCGATTTCCAAGGGTGGTGATAACTAATAGGCCTTCATGCGCTCCAGGATTGGTGGCAAAGATGCATTGACTGTGGGGAATTTATATCCAGGGGAACACTGAGAACAACAAACAAAGAAAACATATAAAGCACAATGTTTTGGTAACTTGAATGTTTTTGAGATAATTTCATTCTGCACTAGACTAAATCAGGAAGTTCTTAATAAGGTGTCAGATGCTGACAAATAAAGTTATATTATTCAAGCTTTCATCTATTTATTCAGAAAAGAAATAACATCTCAAAAAATTCCCAAAACATTTTCTTCTTGGGTTCACTGACATTCAAGGGTAAAAAAACGATGCACCCTCCTTATGGTCTTAAATAAAGTATATTTCCCAAAGCTATCTATCTTATGAAATTCAAAACTCTCTCACTTTTAATAGAGGAACTTTATCTGAAAGTTCTTGTATTGCCTGATTTTGCTAAACCGAATATCTCCCCATTCATGCTTATTAGAGGTTTCTCCATAAATGGTGCCATCTCTTCCCAGCTTGCGTTGAGCCCGGAACTCTGGAACATAAAAATTCTCTCCTGGTTTTACCTGATCGGCAAATTGATCACTATTTTGGATGCATAACCTAGTACTCCTTTTGGTTATGATTGCCTCTTTCAAAATGGCTAAAGGCTTGATTAATATGTCAACTTTGGCATATTAAAAAATTGATTAAAAAATTAAATCTGATAACATAACATAGAAGTGTGTAATAGCATAACCAGATCCTATACACCACCCTTTCTGGTATTGTGGTTGGGATATATCATCTAAATACTCTGTATTTGTATTTGTATTTGTTGATGACGGTTAGTTAATTCTTAGAAGATAGTAAAATCTTTAACAGTCCTCTTGAGCCTTATCTGACTGATAGTAAAAGTTCATAGTATATGAGTTTGAGTGCACTTTATGTTGATATGCCAGAATGTAGGGAAACAATATTCTTCTAAGGAGTTGTGCTCTATATTGCTTAGTACTCATTCTTTAAAGCAGAATGGAAGTTCTAGTTTTTAGATAAACAGTACATGAGGATATCAACCAGCGAACTTTTTTCAAACTGATGAAAGTTTTACAAAGGTAGGATGTTGTCAGTTAACCATACAAGCAGTATGGCTATGCATAGTCTTGTCCTATACTGGCAACTGCCTAAGAAGCCTATTATGTCATTTGAGCCTGTACATCTGAGTTTCAGCAATAAGACTCCTAAGTGATTACCAGTATTGAGTTTCATTGCCACCTTATCTCACTTCCTGTGCAACTTTATTAGCAAGGCAGGGTGTTTTTTTGAGGGGTTACTTGGGTTGGGGAAAGATTCATCCTTGCAAAATCATCTCTTAGCTTCCAGGATTATTCAACCACACGTGAGATTCATCCTATCATAACCACCTTGGGCTTCCTGCAATACAGAAATTATCGCCATATGCTATTGTTTCTTTGAACATTACACATTAATAAAAAGAAATGAAAACAAATATACAAAAACACCCCGTCTTCAGTCAATTAATTGCTCCAACTTACCAAAGTCACATGCTTGTAAGCTTCCATTTTGGGTTTGTGATACCTAATTTAGGGTGAGGCAGCTGCTGCTTTTGTTTCCTTCACAGATGCTTCCCCACTTTTAGTCTCATCCTTGGTGAGGAGAGGGTTATCGCCAAAAATATTTGTTTTGGAATCTGTTATCCCTTGTCCTACCTCCCTTGCACAGGTGCTTAGGAATAGCTTGTCACTAGGTTGCATACATCTGAGTGGACATCTTAATCTGGCCGTGAGATCACATTACCAGAATTCATCTTTCAGTTAACTAAGCTATGATTGATTGAATTTGAATGAACAAAAAATTTTGTTGGGCTCAATTCTACAAAGCTCTTGTTTCATAGTGTTGCATGTACTGTGTGTAGTGCCAAGCTACCAGCATAATTTGATTCTTTCTCATGAAGATGACATCTCGTTCTGTTTCTTGGCTTACAGAATGCAGCCTACCTAGCAACACAAGGATTAGGCGTTACTGATGCAGTCCTCAATGCCATTAGTGAATCTGGGTTCAATAATCAGACTGTCAAGAAAGTTATGATCCAGTCTACCAATAGCTCGGTTCTGATCAAATTCAAGGAGAAAAGCAACTATGAGCTTGTTTACAGGGTTGATGAGAATATCCGCGACGCCTTGAACGACACCATTTTAGAACTCAGGAAGTTCGCGAACTCTGTGGTCATAAGCAAGTCTTCTGTCTTCCCCAATGACATGGAATATTCCACTGGTGTGGTTACAGATGTCGTGTCGAAGCTGCAAGCATTCAACCTCCCTGCCTATGTACAACTCTTTAGCAATGAGTTTGTATCTCAAGCATGGGACTTCTTGTCAGATCCATATGTGGAGATTAACACATTTGTAATGACAGTTGGCAATGATGGTGTCATTACCGACTACCCTGCGACGGCTGCTAAGTACAGAAGTAAGTCTTCATATTTTTTAATTCTTTGGGCTAATTAAATTTGTCCATCCATCTTTAGTACTCTACTAAAATCGTTTTTATCTGTTTGATACATGGTTTTGATATGAAAGATCAGATGAAAATGTCATCAAATTTTGTGGCCACTGTACAAAAGCTGTTACTTAGCTGTCTACTTATTCTAACATCAGAATCCTACCTTCTATTTGAGTTTCATTTAATTAGCAATGAATGGGGTCATTGCCTATTTGAAGTGGTACAATGACATGGCAAACAACTACTGAGGTTTGTCGCTTGGTGCAAATAAATGCATGAAGTTTATTCCCTATCTCCCCGACCTAAATTTACCCAGGGATGGGGAACCAAATTTAATAATGTCCTATGCCCAGTTAGGTAAATTGTGGTGAATGAAGCTCTATCTACTACCCTTTAGTTTATTATCATTCTTCTCATTTATGTAAACTTCTAGATCCCTTGTAACTTGATATTCACTGTGAGAAAATGGAATAATGACCTTTTTTTGTAATTCTTATTAAATATGATTTATCAGAGGAATTATATGTAGATGTATTGTTGTTCGTAATTATTTTCCATTAGTTTCACTTCTTTTTTTAAGTTGGTGAAGCTTCAATTTGGTTGAGCTATTCATATTTGCTTTCACTAAAGATGTTTTTCGCTTTGGCAAATCACAGGGAACCGATGTCTAGGTTTGGGCAATAGTACACCACCTTACATGGCCCCTACTGACCCTGGCTTCATCATGCAACTCATTCCTACTCCGTTTTTGCCACCAGCCGAGGCTCCCAACCCAATCCTGACGGAGGCTGATGTGGTCGAGCCTCCTCTGCCTCCTGTTGGGGTGAAAGCCCCTCCTCCTAGCACTGGCGGCAGGACTCCAGCGATTCTTCCCCCACCACCTAATGGGCAGCCTAAAGTTGTTGCAAAGACTTTTCTGTCTACTCTGGCTTTTCTCCTTGCAACATTTTTGCTGTTATGAGAACCATAACACGATCACTTGCGATCATTTTGTATCCTTGTATTTCCATCTCATTGGTATTTTTTTTTCTTAGTTATTTCGGAGTTCTGCATGATTATCACACGGCTCTACTTCAGATCCTCCTCTCTCCCTCTTGTTTTCTATTTTTTGTTAATGTTGTAGGTATGTTCATTCCTGAGGATGTAACTTTATGACAACTGAGCATTGTCTTTGTTGTACTATACTGTAAAATGTATTCACTATAATTCTTTGGTATTAATTTCGTGTTGATAATGTAAGCTTTTTTCTTACTGGAGGGATGTGCTTCTATGTGTCCTTCACTGTCATCTCAATTACCTTATTTTTGACATGAAACTCGCTTGTATATATCTGCAGTAAAACGAAGAAGAAAGGCGAGATTCCAAAGGGGGTGTTTGGTTTAGGCATTGGATAGTATCGGATTGGACAAACTTGTTTATCCTATGCTCATCCATCTGTGTCTTGAACTAATTGTAGTGATAATATCTCTTCATTTCATGTCTTGTTTAAGTATTAAGAGGATGATGTATTGAATGAAAGTTAAATATTAAATTATTAAAGAACCCTCTAGATAATTATATCTTAGAGATTTTTTAGGGTAAAAACTTTTTTTACCAAAACTACTTTAGCTGGATTATTTAAACCCACAAAATAGGTGTGCTTATTTAAGAGGTTATATGTGAATTTACTATTCATCCGGGTGCAAAGTATAATACCGGGTTCAAAGTGTGTATCCAAGTAATGGAGTAAATGGGATAAGGTGGGCTAAACATTATTTTGTCCAACATTTCCTCCTATTTATGGTGCTCTATTTTTCTATGATGCACACAAATCACCGCTTCTAAATGTAAAGGCAGACACTGAAATCACTAGAAAATTATAGTGACCTTTGAAAGTATGTATTATTCAAAAAATAGCTGAAAATATACTTGGGGGTGAATAGAATCATAATCATTCCTAAACCCTTTACTAAAAATAAAAAAAATTAAAACCCAAATAATTATTGTAAAAGTGTGTCATGTCACCTACAATTTAACAAAATTAATGCATTGAATGCAAAATTTTATATGGTTTATCATTTTAAGTTTTTGAATTTTTTTCTTAAAACTACAAAAACGAGAAGAATCCCCTATTATAACTTGGTCCCCTTTCATTGCGTATTGAATGCATGAATGTCTTTCCGCTCTAAGTAGTTTGTTGTTACTTGTTTTATATCATTCTATTACTAATATTTTATATAATATAAGATAAATGAATCAAAACTCAATTGAGTCTATGAGGCAAGTCAAAAAATCAAATTTTGGGATCAAATTTGGGACATGGCAGCATAGCATTTGAAGTCTTTATTGGGGCCAAATGACATGACATCAAATAAAGAAGTTCAAGTCAACTTTCATGTCATTTGAATTCTAAATTTAATCATAAAATTTGGTCAATATAATATTACTGTTGATCAAATTCAACTTCAATACTAATAGAATATAAAAATATAACCAGCTGACTAAACCCTTACGTCACTTTTCGATACTATTTCGATATAGATGCTGCTGTACCATAAAGCATTGGAGCTCCAAGACCATAACGAATTTTTCAAAAACTTTTGGGTAAATTACATTCACACAGCTTGACAGTTCTAAAATTATACAATGACCCCCTAAGATTTAAAAATCATGACACAAGCACCCCTTCTGCATTCCAGCCGCTACTTTGACAAAAAGAAAAAATAGTGACGTCAGGGAATAATGGGTTGTCATATAATTTTAGAAATGTTAGAAAGTTGCCGTGTCATTTGGTCAAATGTCACGGAAGTGTGAGCGTAATTTATCCAAAACTCTTTTAGAGCTTTTTTCCAGGGTCGGAAACGCCAAGATCATAAGACTGTAAAATAAATTTCAAACATATACAATCATTCACAAGGATTCCATTATTAAAATCGAAAAATGAGTACCAGAGTCGAAGCAGAATGATCGATCGAACTTAAGGTTGATCTGACTCTACACCAATGAGCTATACCACGTGGTGATGGGTGAAATATGTGTCATGGTTGTCCAACTTTGCATGAGATGAGAATGTGTGTGGAAACTATGTCACAATCAAACTAGGCTGCTACGAACTTTAGTAGCTGGAAAGCACATCCATATGCCAGCTAGCTGAAGGGCTTGAGCCTAAAATTAATCCATTATAAAATCAATTACTGACTGTTTTAAGCGTACAAATTCTAAGGATTTGATAAATATATTTTGCTATGAAATAATATTTAAAATCTATATAATAAAGGATAATATAAAAAATAATTTTACGTTTTCTAGTTGAGATCGTTTTAAATTTTACTTTAAAATTAATTTGATGGTTAATATTAATTTCTTAAATTTAATAGAAAAAATAAACTCACTAAGGGTGTGTTTAGGGCGATTTTTTAAAAGTATTTCTAAAATTTATGACTTCTCATAAATAATTTCAAAAAAAAAAATAGTGTTTTGAATAACTTATTTTAATTATTTCCAAAAAATTCAAAAGGAGTTTTACCACTTAAATAAGTAAGTAAAAAAAAATAACTTCTATTTTTTTATAAAACACTTCACCGCCACCACCACTGCCATGCCACCACCTCAACACCACTACCCCTATCGCCCCACCACCACTGTCATCACCCACCACTGATGACTACCACCGTCACTCATCACCACTACCCATCACCATCATCGTTGTCCATCACTACCCATTGTCACCCATTACCACAACCTATTGTCACCCACCCCCATCACACCTTCCACCGCCAATTGTCATCTCCCATCACTAATGTCACCCACTGTCACCTATTCTTATCACACCTTATATTGCCATTCGCCGCCACCGTCATCCGTAAGCACTTGTCATTGCCCACCACAATTATCACCATCCACCATTATAACCCACCACCGGTGTCACCCCCACCACCACTCACACCCATGGTTGTCACTATCATTATCGTCAACCAAAATCTACCACAATTATCACTGTTGTCACCCACGGCTACCACCACCACCATTGTTGTCCATTACCATTATTATCGTTCACTCCCACTACAACCGATAATTAAATTTTTTTTTTTCTCTTCTATGCTTGTAATTTGATTTTGAGTGTGATTGATAATTTTTTTAATTACTCTATGTCTTTAAGCACAAAATAATAACTAGTTATTAATATTGTATAATTGGTACCATGCAATCTATTTAAACCCAAACCCACCCAATTTTTATTTTTTACTCTTTTAAGTTCAAACGGTCAAGAATGTTTAGATCAATTTATGCGCATCTCGATTAATCTCCTCTTTGGTCCAGTCAAAGACAAGTTATTCACGCTGAAATTAAGGCATTCATGAGAGATACAATTTTCATAATCTTACTCTAAAGAGTTATCAAAATTTGAATTTAAGACATCTAAGTTTATAGTTTATCCCAAATTCAAAGATATGGTTTACAGTAATGTTATGTTAATCAAATTTTAAGACCAAATTAAGAGTCTAAATGGTATAACAACCTATTATTTAGAGTTTTTATTAGGGTCCAAATGACATGACACAAAAAAAAGAAGTCCAAGTCAGTTAAGATATCATTTGGATTCTTAATTTGGTGAGCGTGTAAGATTTATGGTACTGATTCTAAATAATTTATAATTATTAATTATAAAATAAAAAATTTATAAAATATAAGGCATTCTTTCTGCTAAAAAAATGGCGGTATTTTCTGGATTCCGAAATAAGACTCTAAATTCAAATTATGGAAAGTCACATCTGCATTGCATAATCATTCGTAATGCCTAACTCATCACATTGAACGTGTATCCATCTGTCTCATTAATATAATAATGGGTTTTGATTAGTCCAACATGTTACAACTCTCTGTTATACTTCCTCTCTTTCTTTCTTTTACTCTTTAAACATACCATACCATACCATCTCTTCTTGTTTGACCCGCTTGCATGGTCATCTTTTCGTCACGCTTTCGTTCCAAAAACGTATCGTACTTTTAACTTTTTTATTTTTGTGAGTTTTTTTATAATTAAAAAATTTATTATTTTTTGGGTGATTTATCACTTCTATTTGTATTTCTATTATTTTTATTGGATAATTTATCATATTTATAGATATTTTTACCACTATTGTCTTAACTATTTTTATGATTTTTTGGTTACCACAACAATAATAAAAATACTCATAAACATGATATTAAAAAAAAATAAAATTGAACCATACTCAACTCTTATATTTACGGGTAATTCTATGGTACCAAAAATAATTTTTTGGTGTTATACCAAACTATTTTTAAAGTCAAGTTATATTTTTTAAAATTAAAGTTATAACTGTTTGAGGTCATTTCATGACCAATCTTTTATATGGGTAAATATTTAGCGTAACGGTAATATCGTATCAATATTATTACATGGTGTATCATCAACTAATAATAAAATACTAAATAGGCAAGATGAACTTCACTTAGATAATTATTTAATTACATGGAGATATAATTATTAATTTGTATGGGTACATGTCCTTATTTGTCTACATATTAGTAATTGGTGATACCATATGACAATATTAACGTGATATCATCGTTGTAATGAATATTTTTTTTTTGATATCACCGCCGTCGCCACCACTATCACCATCGTTGCTGCCGCCACCATCACCATTGTTGTCACCGCCACCACGGTTATTGTCACCTACCACAATCATCACTATCTCCTACTACCACCACTACCGTCCATCACCTTTCACCCCCACTACAAATCAATATTTAATCTCTTATCGATGTTTGTGATTTGATTTTGAATATGAATACAAATATGTTTGTTGTTTATCATTTTTTATTATTTTGTGTCTTCAGGTACAGACAATAACTAGTCTTTTTATATTACATCTTTAATATATATAAAAAGAGTATATTGCGTCTCTTTTGTTAACTTGTGTTATTTTTTTCATCAAAAAATCAATCTATTGACATTGACGGAAAATTAACTGAAAGATAATAGTATAACATTTTTGATACATTAAGAGTGTAATATAATAAATTTAATTTTTAAGGGTATACAATAAAAATCTTCAAATTTTTAAGGATACCAAGTACAATTCACAACAGAAGTGTGATGGAAAGCCAACGTCAGACGTAGGTAGGTTGAATGAACACTAAGATGATGATTTGATGATCACACATTATTGTCACGGGCCACGGGACCAAAAGGGGTCAAAGTAGACAACACAACACACAAGATATTATTGTATACGTCCATTTCCTTTATTGAAGAGGAATTCAGGTTATTTTCATCCAAAGAAATGTACGAGAAATTTCGTAAATTCAACTCACTTACTTCATTATGGTATACGTCCATCTCTTCTTGTTTGACTCGCTTGAATGGTCATGCTTTCGTTCCAAAAACGTCATTAAGCAAGCCCTAAACCATATTACATTTATGTACTTGCCTACGGCACCGAAAAAAAAAATTTGGTATCTTATTTCGAATTTTTATATTTTTGTGAGTCATTTCATAACTAAATTTTTTCAAAAATTTTTTTTTAAATTTTTTGGTATAAAAAAATTATTGTTTTTGTGGGTAATTTTATTATATTTTGTGGATATTTTTATCATTGTTGTATTAACTATTTTTATTATTTTTTGGATAAATATTCACATATATGATAAATAAATGTATGATATCAAAAAAAATAAAATTGTACCATAGTCAACTCTTACATTTATGGGTAATTCTACGGTATCGAAAATAAATTTTTGGACTATACCAAACTATTTTTAAAGTTAAATTATATTTTTTTAAAGTAAAGTTACAATTGATTGAGGTTATTTCATGACTAAACTTGAATACTAGTAAATATTTAATATAACGGTAATACCATATCATTATTATTACATGATATATCACCAACTAATAATAAAACATTAAATACGAAAGGTGAACCTCACTTGGATTATTATTTAATTACATAGTTATTAATTTATGTGGTATACATTTCCTTATTTATCTACATATTAGTAATTGATGATATCATATCACGTGACAATACTAACGCGATATCATCGTTACAATGAATATTTTCTTTTGAGTACCCCCTAACTTTTAATTATTTTAATTTAAGTTTGAATTAAACTAAATAAAAATCACGTGTTATTGCTTGTTGGGGCTTAATATCCATGTTTGACTCTTAATAATAACACACAACTCGCTTGTCAAAAAAAAAAAGAAATTTGTTTTGCAGTCAAAAAAAATAAATAAAATACAATAATTAAAATGATTTCAAAAATGCAAAGACTAAATTAAAAATATAATTAAAATCTTGGTTTACTAGTCATTCATTATATACTCGTTTAACTTAATTTACTGACATAATCAGATATAGTAATTCATAATCATTGAATTAATAGTAGATTCACGTATTTATTAAAAACTCACTACTAATTCAATAATTTTGATAAATTACGTTAGTAAATTATATACAAATAATATTATTATTATATATATATATATGGAACATTCAGAACAAGAAAATTTGTTGGACTCACTCCTTTAATTAGCATAATTTTGAGTTATAGAAAGAACGGCTTTTCGTACATTTCGTCCTGAAAAATTTTAGAATTTTTATTTTATATTTTTAAAAATTAAATTTTTTATATTGCATCTTTAATATATCAAAAAAGTTGTATTATGCCCCTTCAATTAGCTTCCGTTATTTTTTTCGTCAAAAAATCAATTCATTGACATTGACAAAAAACTAATAGAAGGATTATATTGTAACACTTTTAATACATTAACAGGGTAATATAATAAATTTAATTTTTAAGGGTATAAAATAAAAATCTTAAAATTTTTTAGGGGGTATCAAGTATAATTCACTTTTAAAACAACAGCAATGAATGAAAGTGTGATGGAAAGCCAACGTCAGACGTAGGTAGGTTTAATGAACACTATGATGATGATTTGATGATCAAATATTATTGTCACGGCCCACGGGACCAAAAAGGGGTCCAGTAGACAACACAGCATAAGATACGGACATGGTTTCTTCGTTATGCTATACGTTCCATTTCCTTTATTGAATGGAATTTAGGTTGTCTTCGTCCAAAGAAATGTTCGAGAAATTTCCCAAATTCAACTCAGACTATAATTTGTCGGTTTTTTAGTAAAAATAAATTATTTCAACCACGTTCTGGTGAGACTTACTGTTGTTGCTTGAAAATTTGGTGTACCCAATTATCCTAAAATCAAAAGTATTTAGATAAGTAAAAAATAAGTATTTAGATAAATAAAAATTTATTTCATTGTAACATGGCGTGTGAGAAGTGCATGTGCCAAATATATCAAAACAACACACAAAAGCTAGGGACGCTCATTTTCACTCGTATGGGATAAGACCCATTTTTGTTGAGTTTTACTGAATTAGTATCGATTAATATTTTATTCGTATTCAATTTAGTTATTAATTTGTGTCTAACGAATTGTATCATATCGGATTCGTATCGTGTGTATTTTTTTTAATTGACTTTATTCATATTTGATTCATTTATTATTAATCGTATCTTGTCGAGTCCACTAATTTACGAAACGAGTGATTTAAGAAATACTTAAATTCTCTAATTTCGTATTATATCATATTTTGACACTCTTAACTATAGCCCCTTTGTTGTATTCAAAACATCTGAAGTGGGGCGAAGTAAAAATTTTGGGCATTGTAATTATTGATGTCAACTCTGATTCATCGATACGAACTCGACACGAATAATTATAAAATTGACAGGATAATAAATAATTTAGACTAATGTTTAATACTCAAAACATATTAAATAAATTTTTTTTTATAGAGCAAAATACGATGACAACATGAATAACCTGATATATAAATTACACTAACAAGGCACGTTTAACACCCCAATTGCATTATGGTGCATGTACCTTGTAATTATGGTCAACGAGAGGCTAGTGGATGCTCGACACCCATGCAACTGGCTAGAATCCAAAGGGTCCTAGCACTCGTCATCGTGACGCTATGATGACGTCATATATCTGTCTCCCTCGACTATAAGGAACCTCCCATGTGGGTCTTATGGTCCGCCACCTCTTCCCTTCCTTTGACTCTTTCAATTATCAAATCTAACGACCCTCTCTCTCTCTCTCTCTATAAATACACACGAAAATCTTGTATTGATTCGCACAATTGTCTAATCTAACGATCCTCTCTCTCTCTCTCTCTATAAATACACACGAAAATCTTGTATTGATTCGCACAGTAGAAATTTGAAAAACAAAGTTACAGACTTATACAGGAAAAATGCAAGAAACTAATGTATTCAATGTTGTCAATGATCCTCGTCCGGTGGTGCGGAAGTTCCTGGCGAGGCCTCAACATGAAGGAGTTGGAGCCATTGTCCGAAGAAGCATAGGAAGGTAAGAGAAAGAGAGAGAGTCTGTGTGTGTTAATCTTCTGATGTTTTTATTGTTATTGAATGGTAATTGAAGGATTTGAGCTTTTTGGCTAAGAGTGTTCTTGGAACTTTTCCAGGTTTGAGCTGAAATACTTTGATCCTTTCCTTGTTTTAGATGAATTCTCAGGTGCGTGCCTCTGTTTTATCTTTTTTTTTTTTTTTTTTTTTTTTCTGGTGAAAAATGGAGGATGCACGAGGCCCCGTCATCCGGGAGGGGCAGATGTATACAGAGACTGTTTTGTAACTCGAATCCATAACTTTCATATCACAATAGAACAATGGAGAGAATTTTTTATCAGTGAAACTATATAATTTATGTACAAGAACTGATATTTTCAAATTCTAATAATGCAGTTTCTGCTCCTGCTGGGTTTCCTGATCATCCACACAGAGGTTTGATTTTTCACCATTTTTGCCTCATTTTAATCCTCTTGGAACAAGTTTGACTTAGATTGTTGAGAAACTGCATTGGGTTAGTTCTGAATCTGATCCTTTTCTCTGTTTTCTCTTTAACAGGATTTGAAACAGTCACCTACATGTTACAGGTATAGCAATTTACAATATTCCACTTCATAAGAAAACAAAAACAGAACTAAGGAACCAAACCCAATTCATAAAAAAAAAAAAAAAAAAAAAACTTTTTCTTGTCTGCTTCCTTACTTGTCTATGTCTATGACTATGACTGTCAGTTTGTTCCAGTTTTTGTCTGAGTAGGTTGTGGAATCATTTGATTTTTTTTCCCCCAAAAACACTAAAAGAAGCAATTTTCTATTTATAGATTATTAATCAGTTTTGGCCAGACTTGTTACTGTCAAATTTAGCATGACCCAGATGTATTTTTATGTTGTAGAGAATATATAATATTTTTTTGGCTCCTCAAAATTGTCTAGATCAATTTACGTGCATCTCGACTAATCCTATCCGCAATCATGTCAATTGCAAACCATCTACGTCGAGACTGGTATATTTATGAGGGATAAGCCCACATGACCTGGTTTTAAAGGATTGTCAAGTTTCAAATTCTGGACGTTTGAATTTACAATACATTCATATTATCACTTGAATTACTCTGAAAATTATACATAATACACAATTGGCAAAGCCTGGCAGACATTTCTGTGTGGTTTGCTGGCTATAGTAGTCTTCATAGAAATAATATATGTATTACCTTGTACCTTTTCATATCCGTATTCTATAATATAAAATTTTTGTATTGTTATATGACTCGTATAACATCATATCATATCGTATCTATATCCAATATCCTTGCTTCCTAAATGACATCATATAGGACTGTGATCAATTTCACCCTTTACCATAAGTCATTTTTAGGCTAGCTAGCTATAATATGGTTAGGTAAATTATAGTTGAAATGTTGAGTGAGAAAATATTTTTGGAGTCAACAGGGAGCTGTAACACATGAAGATTTTGAGGGACATAAAGGGACCATTGAAGCTGGTGACTTACAGTGGATGACTGCTGGAAGAGGAATTGTTCACTCAGAAATGCCTGCAGCACAGGGAACTCAAAAGGGCTTACAGTTGTGGATCAACCTCTCATCCAAACATAAAATGTAAGTAAACCCTTAACTTTTTTTATTGTTTTAAAAGTATAAATTTAGACCATTCCTCGATTTGTAGGTGTCATCTTTGCGTAAGGGACATACAAATCTTCTCCGTTTTGTTCTAATTTTACGAAGAGACAAATAGACACTTAACTACTTGTTGATCAAATTGGTTAGTATCAAACTCATTCTGCAAAATTAAATAATTTGGGGATATTTTATGCACATTAGACGGTCAATACCTTACTTTCAAGGGTAATTTAAGTAATAATACAGATGAGTTATACTAATCTTGACAATAATTATAATTAATTTATCTCTCATAAATTAATTTGAATATTTACTCTGACAGCTGAAAAAAGAGTCAATACTTTAGAAACTTTTCAAATAGGAATATACAATCATCACGCATGGCTATGATGATCATGGATGCTTTGCTAGTGCGTCCAACCCAATGTTCCCATCTTTACCCTGTACCTTTTATTGGGATCCCACAATGAAAAGAGAGATCCTTGATAATGGTTGGTCTTCCTTGAGCTTCTAATCCTGCTTTTACTCTTTGAAAAAAGTAGCTTGAGAATTTTTTTTCTTTACTTTTTTATATCATTGAAGTTGCAGAGGAATACAACCTTACCCAATCATTAGGACTGTCGTGCCATATCATGTCGGCTCGCATATACTTTATTGATATATAAGATTCGTTTTATAAGATTTGTGTCGACTCATTTGCGAAACTCAGTCCGGCGTAAGTGTCATAACCATCAATTTTGGTTTACAAACTTTACTTTGGTAGCCACTGTGATTTTGTTTATAAACTTCAGTTAGCATCCTCGATTCCACTTTGAATTTGAGGGGAAAAGTTCATGTGTATATATTTAATGTTTGTCCCACATCAATTAGACTAAAATATTTTATTATTTTCTTATACTATAAATACAGTTACTCATGTATATAGAAAAATATACAAAAACAATATACAATTAATATTCACTTTCTAATCTCTTACAGGATTGAGCCAAGGTATCAAGAAATAACAAGCAAGGACATAGCAGAAGCTGCTAAAGATGGGGTAAAGGTGAGAGTTATAGCAGGAGAGGCATTGGGAACCAAGTCAGAAGTATACACAAGGACCCCCACCATGTACCTGGACTTCACACTAAAACCAGGAGCTCATCTTCTCCAACCCATCCCACTACCTTGGAATGCTTTTGTATACATCTTAGAAGGTGAGGGAGTGTTTGGCAACTCAAAATCTTTGCCAATCACAGCCCACCATATTCTACTTCTAGGCTCTGGTGATGGCTTGGAGGCATGTAACAAGTCTTCCAAGGCTCTAAGGTTCATTTTAGTTGCGGGTCAACCGTTGGGTGAACCAGTCGTACAATTCGGGCCTTTTGTGATGAATAGTCAAGAGGAGATTGACCAAACTGTTGAAGATTTTGAGAATTACACTAATGGGTTTGAGAAAGCTAGGCAATGGAGATCTGAAACCACCCTTGATCTTGATTTTTAGTACATTTCTTTTTATCTACAAAAGTTATTATTTTATTTAAATTAAAGGGCGTATTCGGCAGCATTGTAGAATTTGGGAATTGTTAGATGTATGCAACTTTACCTTACCAGCAGTGAGGCTATTTTCGCATTTAAATTAAGAAAAAAAAATGTATTATGTCTCATGATGTAGTTCATGTACACTTATCAAATGATTATTATCATGGTTTAGGCATGTTGCCATGTCCTGTGGATAAAGTTGTGTAACTGTGAAAAAGTTCAATATGAGCCATGATTGCAACTCTCGTCTATTATACTAAAGAAATTCATAGCTGCAAAATAGTTTTTTTTTTTTATTAAATCTCAAAATATTATATTATTGATTGAATAATTTGTAGTTCATAGGGCTGACCCAAGAATATTTGCGGCCCAACGCAAAAATTGTAGATGAGGTCCTAAATTATTTTTAGATGAATAGTTTATTTATTTTTATTTTTAAATTTTAAATATTTAATTTTATATCTTTTAGTAAGTATATTTAAAGTGAAAAATAACATGAAAAACAAATGCATTATGTAACTAACTGATTATATTATATTAAAATTAACTTAACTTAAGAAATTATAGATCAAGAAAATAAAATTGAATAAATAAGTTAGAGTTGTTATAAATTTAGATAAAATAAGAGCGTATAGTCTTATAATTTTGTGTGCAAAAATATAATGCGGTCATTTTTTTTTTTTGAATGTATATATATTTATGATTTGAAGAAAAATATTTTTGATCATTTTACGAAACATCCAAATTTTTTTTATAAAATTTATTCCTATAATTTTGTAAGACATCTGCAAATGGGCCCTAGGCCACCACTTCACTTGCCTAGGGGTGGAGTTATATATGGTCAAATCCTAATTGTTCTTGATGATGCACAAAAATGGTTTTGCACACCACCTGTCAAGTATAGATAATAAATACAATGAAATCAACGAAAGAATTAAAGAAGACACAATTTATAGTGGTTCGGTCAATTCGACCTACGTCCACTCTTCAATGGCTTCAGTCGCCGGGTATTTTATTGATTCAAAGGTATGGAGAATGAAGATACAAGCTTTGAGAGGGGGGAATGGAGAATCAGAGAAAATAATAATCTCCGGTAGTCGGTTCGTCTTCTGTAAGTCTTTGATGGAGCATGTGTCCCTTTCTCTCTCAGATTAGAGCCATTTTATAGTAGATAAGAGATCATTCTTGTGGGGATCATAACATATCCTCAAGGCTTCTTTATCGCAGCTTAGAGATTATCTTCGGTGGAGATCACGACTTATCCTCAACGGAAGGAAGAGTTTGGGGAACTCTTGAAGGAAACGTGGTCAAAGATTGGACCGTTGATAAGCTTCTCGTGCTCTCTTCTTGGTGACGTGCTAAGCAAGAAGTCCAACCGTGCTGTCCTCTTGGTGACGTGCTAAGCAAGAAGTCCAACCGGCCTTGGGCTCCCTAAGGCGGTGTAGATAAACTTCCCGTGTTCTCCTCTTGGTGACGTGCTAAGCAAGAAGTCCAACCGTGCTCTCCTCTTGGTGACGTGCTAAGCAAGAAGTTCAACCGTCCTTGGGCTCCCTAAGGCTTGGTGGGTTCACGATGAGGTTGGGCTCCTCAATCGGGGTTGGACTTTTAATACATAAATTGGACTACTTGGGCTTAACCCATCATTTGCCCCCCAATGCCCCATGTCCAAGGAGACTTGGAGAAGGAGGCATTGATTTCTTTTTTTTTTTTTTTTTAGGTTTCTTCCATTTTATTTTAAAGAAGGCCTATAATATTTTGTTTGGCCTTTTGGTTTTGAAAAAATGGCTTATGACTTTCTTTTTGGCCACTTTGTTTTGAAGAGGGCCCATAATTTTCTATTTGCCTACTTTATTTTGAAGAGGGCCCATATTAGTCTATTTGGGCTTTTTTCCTCTTTTTGAAAAACCCTAGACTATAAATATAGTCTTCTTCTTCAAATTACCACTTCACTTATTTTTAAGGTTGAGCACCCACCTCTTGAAGATTTTGAGAACTCAAGTCCTACCCATTTTGTTAAAGCCAAAGTGTGTGTTCTCCTTGAATCCTTCCAAGAGTGTGATTTCTTCCTTGCTAGTTGAGCTTCTCAAGTGAACAATGTCGATTGAAGAGGGATTGGTGGAGGTTGAAGAAAGTTGTGGATCTGAAATTGAAAGGCTGGGTAGCGAAGAGGAGGCGAGGAGGGGCGAAGGCGCGCTGGGCGCGCGGCTGGGCAGCGCAGGCGCGCAGCTGGGCGGCGCGCGCGCGCGGGGGGCCTGGGCGGCTGTTCTGCGCGCGCTGGGGGCCTGGGCAGCTGCCTAGGGGCTGCTCCTCCTGTCTTGGACAGCCCAGGGGCGCTGGGCAGCTGCCTGGGCGCTGGGCTTGCTGTCCTGGACAGCCCAGGTGCGCTGGGCAGCAGCCTAGCTGCTGCTTCTGCTGTCCCGGACAGCTTCAGATCTGCTGCGCTGGGCAGCTTTGGAACGCTGGGCAGCAGCATTTTTCCATCGGGGGGCGCTGAAAATCAGTCCAAGGTTTGTCAGGGAGAGCTAGGCAGTGGCCTGGGAGCACGGGCTGATCCGATTCTCATTCGAGGTGCTGATTTGGGCGCCTTAGGTGCTGATTTTTGCGCCGAAAATTCTTCTTTGTGTAATATTGAAAGGCCAAGCACCCTTCAAGCTACTGGGCAACTTTGTTTGGATGAGCAACAGCAGTCAGACACACTTTCAGGCGTTGGGCTAGAAATTGCAAGCGGTAGGGAAGCTTTGGATGCTGCCATTGATGATCAAGCCCTTGTTGTAGTTTCCCCGATTCAAGTTCTTCAAGACTCTCCCAATGGTGATTTGGACTACTCCTTAAGGCCCCGGAAGAAGAAACGTAACAGCAAAGTGGGACCCGATGATGACGGGTCTAAGGTGAGCACCCTTCGTAGTTTGTTCTGTTCAGATGAAGATATTTCTAAGCTTGTTTTTACTTATCGCATCCCTCCGACCGTGTTGTGCCGTCGGGCTGAGTTGGGCGAGTTTGCTTGCGATGACTCTTCCGGGGATATTGTCGTTTACGAGGAGATGCTTGAGGCTGGGTTAAGATTTCCCATGTCTTCCCCCATTTGTCGAGTCTTACATTACTTCTCCTTGACCCCGGGGCGACTAGCACCCAACGGTTGGAGAGTCCTCCTCGGTTTTCTTGCCTTATGGAGAAAAGTGCACCACGAGGATGCTTCCCCTATGGAGTTTCATGCAGCATATAATTTGAGCGAAACCCCTACACCAAATAGGGGATGGTATTATTTTACCGCGCGGAGTGGTACAGTGCTTACAGGGATGCGCTCTAATTGCGGCGGCTGGAAATCTTGTTTCTTCTTTATTGGTGGAGAATGGGCTTCAGAAGCCGACAGAGTTTTGGTGCCAACACATTGGGGTGCTGCTAAAAAGCCCGGTATGCTGCACACTTCTTCTTTTTTTTTTTTTTTTGTGTGCTCACTTTTTCTATGTAGATATACCTGTGCTTTCCCGGGACCAGGAGTGGAAATTGGAGGCTGTCAAAGCTTGCCCTTGCAAAGATTTGGGAGTTCTCCTGCCCAAGTATACTAGAGCTGTAGCTCCATCTCAGAAATCTGGCAGCTCCTCTTCGAAGAAAAAGGGTGAGCTAGTTTCCTCTCCCCTTTTTTTTTTTTTTTTTTTAACCCTTCTCTATTTCTTGCAGCGAATAAGAGGGTGGTGGTGTCCCGTTTTTCTAGCAGGAGCCCTCCTTCTTCCAAAGTGATAAGGACAGATGATGCTCCCCATGTGGCTTCCACGGTGGCTTCTTCTCAACTAGCAACTTCTCCAACTGCTGCTCCAGAGTCTTCCTTGCCAGGCACATCTGTTCCACCTTTATCCTCTCCTTGTGCTACCCCTCCTTTGTCTCCTCCTTGTTCAGGAACTTCTACCCAAGTGCCGATTTGGGCTGGTGCTATGATGGGGAGACCAGCAGCTATCCGGGCAAGGCTTGGGAGGTTTGTGTTTGGGCCAGAAGTTTCTGAGCTTAGCGCTTCGGGCACTGATAATATCGTCAACACGTATTTGGAAGGTCTGGCTCAGGTAAGGGTTTGCTATTTCCCTTTCTCCAGTCGTTTCCTGTGTTTTTGACTCCTTCTTTTTTTTTTTTTTTTTAGGTTTCGACTTCCTCCATCTGCTTGCTTTCGAGGGCCTATAATCAAGACAAGCTGAAGCTGGATCTTAGCCTTGTGCAGAGGGAGCTTATTACTGCTCAGGAGAGGATTGTCGAGCTTGATTCTGAGCTTTTGGTGACCCGTGAGAGGGACGTGCTCCGGGAGGGTGAGCTTGTGGCAGCACATGAAAGGTTTTCTAATTTAGAGTCTGAGCTTCTGGCGGCCCGCGAGAGGGACGCGCTCAGGGATGGTGAGCTTGCTGCAGCCCATGAGAGGGCCACTAAGCTAGAGGCTGAGCTTTTGGCAGTCCACGAGAGGAGCGCGCTCAGAGATGGTGAGCTTGTTGCAGCCTGAGAGGGCCACTAAGCTAGAGGCTGAGCTTTTAGCAGTCCACGAGAGGAGCGCGCTCAGAGATGGTGAGCTTGTTGCAGCCTATGAGAGGGCCACTAAGCTAGAGGCTGAGCTTTTGGCAGTCCGCGAGAGGAGCACGCTCAGAGAGGCTGAGCTTGTAGAGGCCCATGGGAGGGCCATGCTCAGAGAGACAGCTGTTGCAGAGGCAAAGCTGACGGCTGCTAGGGAGAGAGTTTCCCGTGCTGAGGAAGACTTGGAGAACGGTCTTGCAGATGCTTTTATTGATGGTTTCGAGGATCTCCGAGGGAAAGTTTCTACCGCTTTCCCTAATATTGACTTCTCGTCTTTCGTGCCTACTGACGACAGTGATGAGGGGAGATCTGATGCTGTTGATGACAATGAGGATGAGGTGGGGGACGACCATGAGAGCAGTTAGAGTGTTTGGGACTTTTGATTTTTTTTTTTTTTGAAAAGGCGGTATCTGGCCTTATTTTTGTACCGATACTCCTTTGAAATGAAATACAGAAAATCTTTTTGGAGTAAATGGCATAGAAAATTTTATTAATTTATTGCTTATAAAAAGCGATATTGGGTGATAATTCCCAAAAATAAAAATACATTAAAATCTTGGGTTACACCGCTAAAAATCAAATCAAGTCCCAATTTCTACTGCTTTGATGCTCTCAAGGTGTCATTGGTAATACCTT